CCTTTGTAATACCATCCCAAAGGTGTAAAATCATTTTACCAGGATGCCAAAGAAAGAGTAACCCAGAGTTACCCCTTCCCAATGTGTTGCTGTGTGTTTAAAAGTTTTGCTGCCACATTTTAGTCGCAGTTGCACAATTTAGCTGTCTGTGAGTCCGGTTTCAATCTGTTACGAAGCTGGAATGATTTTAACTGATGGTGTTGAAGCGTTCAGCAAAAGTGTGCAATCACCTACCTCAATGCCCTTTGAAATCATTTAAATCAAATGGCACTGAAAAGAAATCTCAGAAGTGTGAAGATTAGATGCATCATCCCCCCCCAGATGGTCTCGCACAATCTCTAACATTGGCTACAAGTGGCTCAGTTGTCCAGTCTAAATAAGTCAGCTCTGGTTTTCTGTTTTGTAACACTTTAATGCAACTCAAAAGTTTCATTCTTTATGTTGAAATCTTAAGTTTCTCGTTCAGCGATTTGTTTACTATTGACGGCTCTATTCAAGGAACTCTGCTGATGTCACTGAGACAGCATACGGTAGATTGAATTAGCTTTTTTTGTTTGTTTGTTTGTTTTTTATTATCTGATGCATGTTGTGATTGATTCATATAAAAATGTTACGCTTTAGTTTATTGTCTGATTATACATTACTATGATGTTAAGCTCTCATTTCTTGTTTAGATTTACATTATTATGAAATCATTAATTCATATTTAAAGCAAACAAAATACAGATTTTAAAACAAAAAAATGAAAAGGATTGGAACCTTCTTTCTTTTTTTTTTTTTTTTTAGAACATTTTCACATGCAAGCTGAGAATCTGGTGAAGCCGCTCATGCAGACCATAACTCATCAGCACTCGCGAGTCAGAGTGTCGGTCATTGAAGCCACCGGAGCAGTCATACAACACGGCAGTGGGAAAAACATGGATGATGTGCTATCACACCTCGCACAGAGACTATTTGATGACTCGCCGCAGGTTTGGCCTTTATTATTAACCATCTTTTAGGAACCAAAACTGTATACTCTGTCACTTGCTTTTAACATTATTTAGCATTTTGTCGTTTTGAAGTTCTTTTTAAAAACACTTTATATCTCTCAGCAATGATTTTTTTTTGTTATTTAATTTGAAATTTGGGATGAATTAACCAAAACTGCCTTTTTTGGGGCTGCTCATAATTTTCTATTTCATTTAAGGTGAGGAAAGCTGTGACTGCGGTTGTTGGTGACTGGCTTTTAAACATGAGAGATCGATATTCATATTTCCACAAACTCATTCCGCTCCTGCTGACCAGCATCAGCGATGAGATCCCAGAAATAAGGTTTGAAAGGACAAATCAGTAATACTTATGTAATATAATTTATTATTATTTTAAATTTTAATGTGACCTGGCCCACAGTAACCAGCTCTTGTTTGGAGTTGTATTTATTTGTCTGTAGCATACATAGTTCACAGTTATTCTAGTAACAGTAACTTTGGAGCGAATTCCTCTATAGATATATATTTTTTTTTTCATTACGGATGCAACAGTGCTCCACCTGATGCCATCTCTATAGATTCTAGGTTTAACTCTGCCTTGCTCTCTACTTCCATATCTTTGTCTTTTCTTTAGTGTTGCGCCAATACCATTTTTTGGCTCCGATACCGATACCCGATACCTGGCTGTGCAGTATCGGCCGATACCGATACCATAATAATGTAATATAATCACCATCATGGTTTTGTCAAGCTGCTGCCTACCTTTGTGAAGCAGGAAAAAATCTAATACAAAGTGAATCCAGTAGAACTTTTTATTGCCTACCAGGAGT